GCAGACAATCATTTTGGTTCCTAAAATGTTACAGGGAACTTCCTGGTTTAGGCAGACTGTTCACAGTAGTCACAAATGTCATCAGGGGTCAGCAATCAGTTTTGATGGAAAGTAATACTTTTCTCTTGCTGGAGATATGGACAATGAAAATATTCAGGGCAGCATCTACAATACAACTTTTACTCAAGACATAAGCACAAATACTACTCAAGACACAAGCACTTTACAATAGTGAGCTTTTATGCCCACTATTTCTCCTACAGTTGTGGGGTTTTTTTACAACCAGTAACACCAGAAGTCTTTTGATCCACAGCATGACATGCTTAGAACTCTTATTACTTCTTTGTACAGTAAAATTTTATGTCTATGAAAGTCTTAATTTAGTTAATTTAGTGCTCCATAGATATTATTTAGAGGTTTCTGCATAAATTATACTTTCTACACAGCTTTCCTTTTTACTTCTGCCATCTGGAAATCTTTACAAGTTTCTTTAAAATTCACTCATCTGTTAGCAGAGATGCAGAAAGACCATTAGGGCACAGAGAAAACTATGAAACTATGAAAGAAGTGTTTGCTCTTTGCGGGGGGCGAGGGGAAGCGGGGGTGAAAATAGGGAAAGAAATATACCATCAGCTCTTACTTTGCTCTCTTAGTCTGTATCCTTAAGATAAAATCACCCCTTAAACATACAGCCTGAGCACTCTCATTGGGCATGCAGTCTTTAAGAGAGAAAATTTACTTCATTTGTAGAGCGTGGATTGGCAGCAGACCCATTTCACTACTGCCACAGCATCCAGTAGTTAGAGTAGTTCCCTGCACAAGAAAACAAAGGGAAAATATATTCCACTATGGAATATGCCCCAGAGATTTTCTAACATATAGCACGTGAGGAAAGCCCCAGAAAAACTGTAAAGACAGCAAGTCTAGTAACTGTGTTCTGTATTTAGCCCTATGGTCTTATACTTTGCATAAGTTCTGTTACCTTAAGAAAATCATGAGAAGTTGACTGATAAAGCTCTTTGTCATTATTCCTTGCTTTTAGGGGCATACTGTTTGCGATATAGCATCAATGGCTACACAGGACAGGCTCAGATGAGCAAAAGATATAGGCTTCACCCCTTTTCCTTCCCTATGGCATTCAGTCTTCCTTCAGAGCAGCACCCCTGCAATACGAAATAATTAAATCAAGCTTAAAAAGTGCATTTGGAAATTGTTTCCTCTTCATGAAGAGTCATATAAATCTACACTCAGATCTGTCCTCTAGCTAAAATCTGTGCCTGAAGATCTTGACTGATCCCCTCGCAAGAAGATTTATTACTGTATTAAGATATTTTTTACTGATAAGGAATTTAAGAACACACCTTCCTCTCTGATTTCTCTATAGGAACTCAGATAAGTGACCCTCTTCATTTTTTTAAAAGACAAAAAGATATGCTCCTTACAAACGTCTGTGACAGTTACCCGGTATAGCATGTAACACAAGGTTATTTATAGAAAGCTACTGGAATCAGCTACTTCTGCAAGATTTACTACCACGGTGAACCCCTTCTGGCCTGCTACAGATGCAATGTAAGTCCTAACCCTCATTTAACCAATGTAAAACCAGGTCAAGGAAAGAGAGTGTATGTTCACAGCTATACTTTACCATACAGTGTTCTCTGTTGATGTCTCAAAATATGGTTGAATGAGTGGAAAGACAGACAACAAATACCAATATGCCATTTCTTCACAGCAAGAACCTCTTTAAGAGTGTCTATTCAGAGGGATTCTTCTGATGGACCAAACCTGCCTACATTACAAAAAAGAACATCAGCAAGCATCTACCCTCTGTTAATTACAAGTGCTTTTCATTGTCCTTTAGAACAACCAGATATTTCCTTCAAGATACATGCTTGTTTTTTCATCACAGAAAAGTCCTTTTTAATAAACATCCTCAAAATAATTCTATCAGTCACTTACCAGTCATTTATGTGACAGAAACAACTTAATAATTTAATCCCACATTAGGCTGATCCTTCTTCAGCACACCCTGAAATAAAGGAGTGGTTGAACTAGTCTCTTAGGACGAATTTCTGCCTACACAGACTTCTCTAGATAGTTCTGCAAAACTCTGGGCCACTGTTTACCTCCTCCAAGAAGGTGGGATGATTATCTGACCCCTAAATCCTCACAGCCAAACTCCAGCTTTAGGTACCATCCATAGTTAATTGTCTTACTCCCTCTCCCATACTTCATCACCCTCTTCACATGTACTTTTGAAGTCCTAGTCATGCTTATGTCACTTTAGCCCACTGAACTCAGGAATTTCCAGAACTTTAGCACCTTTTTTTTTAAAGTATGGGACTTCAGACCCAGATGTTCATCTCTGTAACTTCATACTACAGATTTCATGTTGAGATATCAGAAGAGAAAACAAATGAAATTGTGTTTCATCACTGCGTATCAAGGTTCTGAAAAAGAGGAAAAGGCAGAGAAGAGACTCAGCAGATCGAATACCAGGTCTTTCTGGTGTCTGAATTTCAGCTCTGAAAGTGCCTGTGTTACCTTTAATGTATTGTGACGCAGAGCTAGCTGTAACATTCATAAGAAGAGGTGCAGCAGAGTGCCTTCAGTGGAATGTATGCTGTAAATAAAAACACTGATCTTAAAATAAAATTTTCTGGGCATGTGTTTATACATTAAAAAGGTACAACACTAGTTAAAGTAACTCTGGAGAAATGCTACTGTTTGACAGAAAGTGTGAGAATTTGTCAAAGCTGCTGGTTTTGCAATCAATTTCAAATTACCGTATGATTAATGCTGATTAATTATAACACAAACATTTACTACTTCTAATTGACTTTAGTGAAATAATCACAGTTACATCGATCTACCTAGTCACAGGATGATGCCAGTAAGGACAACCTTTACTTAATTATTCACTGTTACTGAAACAGGTTTGTGTTCATATCATGTACAACTCTCATGGAATCTTTAATAATAGATTTTTAATTTTCCACCTTATTTTAATTACTCTTTATTTTAAAATTGAATGTGTATCATTCCTTTTATTCCTATTTCTGCTAGTTTATCTTCTGTACTATTAAAAATAAAGAAAACTTTAAACAGAATAAGAATGACATATTTTCCTCCCACTCTCCTTATGAAATGATTTTTAAATTAGATTTCCTTGTTATACAAAATTCAAAGGCAATTTAGACAGAAATCTCTGGGGGAAAGAAAAGTAAGATTTAAGCTATTTTGTTAGTTTTAAAAATGTCAGGAATGAAAATTGGCTTATCCTACTCTTACCTATACTGCACATTATTTCTCAGACACCCCTTAAAAGGTATGCAATAGGTAACCTTAATGAATTTAACATTAAAGAACAGAATCATAAAAATTAATCCATTTGCACAGAAATACTAGAATTTAATCAAGAATTATATTCCAAAATGGAAATTAACATTCATATGATTAGTAATATGAAAAACATATCCTTTTGCATTCTGAATTGTTTTTTACCTGTAAATTTCCTTTGACAGAGGAAGAAAATCCTGAAAGCAATTCAGACTATATTTTCAGCCAAATTTCAGGTAGAAATGTCCATTTCTCAAAAGTTGGTTGTGCTCATGAAGATTTACGGATGTCCCAAGAAGGACAAAGTCCAGGCTTTCAAGATTCTTGAACACTCTACATTTTATTCACAAACCACAAAGTTATGTTAGAGATCTGTCGGAGAGATCACATTTAGCAAAATCCATAGAGAGAGATCAAGATCTGGAAGCCCATCATTACCACAGCTACATCCTTAATCATTCAGGCCAACAGTGATGTTGAACTCTTTCCTATAAGGTGCTAAGATATTTAACCAAGCAGTCACAAACATCCCTCATTGAACTTTCATGTCAAGCTACTAAAAAATAATTAGTCTCACATTTTTCTACCAGCTGCTTTTTCTATGACCAGATGCTGCCCCAGACAGGTTACTACATTTCTCCTTGTTCTATGAAGCTTGCCAGGGCCTTGCTTTTCAGCTGCTATTTATAACAGATGCTCGACTGTTACCTCTCTCTTGTCTCCTTAAAGAAGCTGCAAGTTCTTCCATAGTTAATGAAAATCAATAGACTGTAGCCTCTTTCATTTACATAGAAAGCAGTTCTTCAGCCTAAAAAAAATGAAAAAATATTTAATGGGGAAAATGATCTGCCAGCTCTTAGAACACATTTCCTAGAAAAATCAAATTCTCTTTTCTAATCTCTTTCCCAAGTATAAAAGTTGCTGTTTTAAAGCACCAATCCCTTACTAAAAAGTTTCTACTGTAAAAACAGTGCCCAGCAAAAACAGTGTTCTTGCTCTTAATGTTCAACATGACAGAAGCAAGCCTGTGGCAAACTGCTGAAGCTGATTATGGCATGTGTTGACATAAGTTCTCATTCTGAGTAATTCCATAAGATGACCATGGGAAGTATTTTCTTATTTTCTTATTCTTCCTTTGAGTTTTTGAACTCTTAAGTATTCCTATTTCTAAGGTTTGTTTTCCCTCCAAGGAATAACTGTTTCAGGATCCCACAGTTCAACCTAAAACAGTAAACAGGGCAGCTAGAGAAAGTGGTTAAAAGAAAAATCCTGAAGTGAACTAGCCCAAACCCAACACATTAATGGCCAAAGACTGCCTCATTACATATGTCTGTCTCACCCAAATCAAGACAGTGAATTGACTGAGCATGGTAAACTCCTTAAAAACAAAATATACAATTGGGTTAACTATATAAAAGTTTTTTCATAATTCCCCATGCTATTGATTTCTGTGGAATTTGCTATACAGGCAGTGTTATCTAAGAGGACTGAGCCTTTCTAATTTTAACATAATTTTCTGCCCAGTGGTGTATTTTAAGGAAGGGAAAAGAGGCAAGGGGATGTGTGATTAAAATCATATTACTTTTCTTCTCCTTAAAAACATTGTCATTTCTTTCTTTGGATGGCTCAGTTTAAAGGAAGAAAAGAAAGTGTGCCTGCTGTTACACTGCCTTTGTTATCACCACAATCACTTCTGTAATTGCACTTTCCACATCTGCCTCCAACACTGGCACTATTATGAGAACAATTATAGCAGCATTGACTCTACTACCCTTTTTTCCAGCCTCGTCTGTGATATGCATTTAAAGTGTTTTATTCTACCTGCTTCCAGGCAAGACCAGGCATTTCTCTGTAGGGGAATAAGAGGCCCAAGCCAGATCTTGCTTTCTTCATAGCATGGCCAGCCTGAGCAAGGAGCCAGGCAAAGCACAGGCATTACCTATGAATCTGTCTTCTTCACTGCTTATGGACAAGACAGGGTACAGCTGAGCCAACACCTTCAATCTCCAGGTACTGATGACAACGTTGGAGAAACTCCTCTGCAGAGCAAGGACAAAGTAAGGGATTAATCTCAGGTTCACCATTAAGCTTGCAATGAATTGATGGGCCAAGCACAATGCTATCACTTTTCACTTAGGTTATGCATTGTTAAAGGTCTAATGGACCCATGTGGTGCAGAAATAAGACTTTCAGTGGCCAATGGCACAGTGGGAAATTACATCACTGGAAACATATCCAGCTTCCTCTGGCTCCGCAGTACAGGTATGACTTTATCTGTGCGCCAGACAGCGGTAGCCTTGGGTTTATGTCCTAAGAAAAGCTTGAAGCTGCAACAAGAGATCCGTAATACTTTGTTAGGAACCTTCATCAAACAAACGGATATTCTAACTCACATTTAGAATATATAAATATGTTATATTTGCTCCTCTAAAGTTCACATCGCTTAGACTTTTACTTCTTCTAAAGCACATACAAGAAAGTATGAAAACTGTCAAATGAGGTGAAATTTGCCTCATTTGAGCTAACAGTAAACAAACAGAACAGCTTGTTAATGGTAATCCTATAAACAGGTGATCATAAATTTATGTCATTTGACTGCCCAGAGGTACCAGCCAGTGATGTGAAAATTAATTAAATTGGCAGTTTGATGTGAAAATACATGAAAAAGCCTACTAATTTATTAAAGTTCTGACACTTGCTTAGAACAAAAAAAAAAGCAATTACCTAATTTGGAGTGTTTTGAAGACTAAAGCTTCTTCACTTGATATTTAAAAGAGGAACATATAAATAATATTAACACACTTCAATGTTTGAGTAGGTCAGTTTTCATCACTGCCCACAAAAAAAAACAAAATGAAGAAAAGACTATTTTTGTATACAAAATATTATCATTCTGAGACTGAGATAGTAATATGACTCTTGAAGTGCAGAGAGCACTGTGTGTTTGGTTTGGTTTGATTTAGTTTGGTTTGGTTTGGTGACAAAGAAGGTTAAGCACAGCAAAAAAAAACCTGCTTTTTTTTTTTTTCTTTTCCAGAAAACAGAATTGCAGAGCCTTCCATGCAGTAAAGATGTCTGTAAACTTTAATTTATATATAAGTTTTAGGAAAGCCTCTTGCTAATTCCTTTTTTTTTTTTTTTCTTTTTTTTTCTTCTCCTGGAGAAGAAGGCAAAGAAGTTAATTAATGTATGTAAGCAATGGAGAAGATGGAAAGCTCAGGAAATTGCACTCATCAATGCAAAAACAAGGGAAGAGTTCTGGTTCCTGACCTCAGATTAATTCAAGGGCCAATGACTTCTTCCAACTGTCTTTTGACTGCATTTCTCTTTAAAGTGTCCAGGAAAAGTGGAACTGTGTAAAGCAGCCTCCCCAGATGTAAAACAGATGGTGGAGATGGCATATGAGCAAGTTGCCATGATGAGGGCTCTCAGTTTCCACAGTCCACGTGAAAACAAGGAAAGGCAATATTCTGAGGACCTTCAGCAACTCTCATACACTGCACTTCAGGGTGTTGCTAAAAGCCAGTGTAGAGTTTACAGAAGTTAATTGATAACACTTTAAATCCTGTGGTTTAAAGTTCTCAGTCTTTCTGACAGTGGCATCTGTTATCACAGGATTAGAGCATCAAATATGCAGAAAAAGTTATTTGCACTTTCAAAGTTGATTTCCTTCATTTCAAAAAATCCTTCATGATCCATCCAATGCTATGTCTCCACTTCATTTTCCACATTCACTGTTACTGTAATACTAAGACATAACTCCTATTACTCCCACAGACACCATAGGAATTTTTAGGAAAACCTTTAGTTCACTTTTGTTTTCCTTTATGTCTCTGCAGGAGGCCCATTTCTGCTCATTTTAAAGAAATTGTCTATGCTTCAATCATGGACTGGTTGAAGATAATTCTCACATACATCTAACAATTTAATTGTGCTATAGATGAATAACTCTGAGAGACAACTTGTAAAAACAAGCCTGCAAGAAACACAGACAGAGAGAAACAGCCTGAGAAAGAAATAAAATTTAGCAGGGGGAGTGGAGGCCCTCTGAGCTAAGGAATGTCTCAAACACAAGTAATGGAACTATAGTCACGGGGTGGAGGGTGTGGAGGTCGAAGCTGATAAGGCTGCCCGAATAACCCATGGTGCAGTTGGAGGAGAGAGCCCTGTGGAGACAGGACGGCTCTGCTCTGGTGCACCTGGGCAAATTTCAAGGGCCATCTGTCCGGTTAATTAACTTTTTTTCATTATCCACTAAATGCATATTAAAGTTAACACCCCTGAATATGCTAAAAAAGACTAACAAGATCATGCTAATTACATCATCCCATGGAACACCTTACCCCTTCCTGTACATTAATCTTTGTACATAATGTTACTTGGAGACCATTTATTTTATTTTTCATAAGAACAGATAGTAGTAAAGATATGCAAACAGTTCAGAAATACAAGGCTATTTTTTCTGCCCTGTCACTCATTCTTTGCTCCAATTCCTCAGGTACTAGCTCTTACTAACTTGCTCCAATAGGGACTGCATAGTTGTTTAGATGAAGGGATGCATGAGTCATATTGTATACAGCCTTACTGTGAGTTCATAGAATAATATTTGAAATAGATGAACATTTATCACAAAGAACATAAACTACAGTGGGAAATGACATCTTCTTTGAAACTTCTCTGTGTATTTTACTTCCTTTTCTATTTGCTTTTCCTTTTTTTCCTAGCTGCTACAATTGCTTTTAATAATTTGACATATCTCATTGCTCTTAGCACTACCCAGAATTCTGAGAAGATGGTATCATTATTTATCAATTTCTGCAACATGAACACTCTGCTGATCACTGTCAAATAATACAGTTTGCCATAGTTCTGTCTCAGCTGACATGAAAATAAGTAATGATTTCATTAATAACAGATTAAAGGTAGTGATATAATCAGTGACAGCTTATTCTGTAGTGGCATCTGTATCAATGCATCTCTTGTCACTTGAAACACTGCACATTTTCCTTTTATTAAATGGAGTTAAAAGAGATTGGCAATATTCCATTTCCTTGGGTATGTTCCTTCTAACACTCTAAGTAGCATGTCAAACCCGATACTTTTTTCTTAATCAAATATTATTAACACTAAGTCTTCCAGTAGTAGAGTACAGCAAGATGTCTGAAGGACTGTACTGTCTCTTTTAGGTTCAATTTCATTTGCCATTTATGATATATAAAGCTTAGCCAGAAGCTTTTTCTTAAAGCTCTTTACACGACTTGTATCTTCTAAATATGAAATCATTCATTTTCACTTCTGAGGGAACTACAACAGTGTTAGGTGTAGGGCTTTGTCATGTGACTAAGAGCCACACATACACTCAGAGAGAGTGCAAAAAAATTCATCTGGGGAATTTAGTGCAAATGGTGCCTAGATATTGGGGATCTCTAAAGTTGAGGGTAGCAAGCGCACAGGCTAATATCTGAGCTTTCAATGAGATACACACACACATCCCAATATTCATAAATTCTGAACATCACAACAAAGGGATTCTGGATGCTACCAGGACTATGTAATCATACACACTCTTTTTCTAATAAAGTAAAAATTGGATGTAGCTACATAGAAACTTTTCAGAGCTACCCAAACAACAACTTTCACATACTGTCTATACGTCATGTACCCCATGAGAATCAAGAAATAAACTAGAGAGTGAAGAGAATTAAATGAGAGTGCAGTATGGACTGCAGTAAAAGAAATGGACTGCAGTAAAAGAAAGTCATTTACTTCGGAATTCACATCTACTTGAATGTGTAATTTTACACAGATAGAAATTTGCTCGAGCTTAATAAAGAACATCTCCATTAGACTGATATCACGAGGAACAAAAGAAAGCCAGTCTGCTTTCCATGCACAGAAATTAAATCACTAAAATACTGAGCAATAAATATTTGCATAAGCAGTGGGCTAGCACAGCTATTTCACTTTTGCTTTTGCATATTACATCAAGTGTTCTAATCTTCCTCATTTAGACAGGCTCACACGGACAGGACATGTGAGCTTGTGGCATAAAGCATTAATTACACCACTGAGAACAGTTGTATGGAAGATCAGAGGATTCACACTTAAATTCTATTGTCCCTGGCCCTGGTTCATGAAGTGACATCCTTGTATATTTAAGTTCATCTTTATTCTGATCAACTTTTAAGAATGCATTGAGCTTTAAACATATGCTTGAGTAATATTGAATTTACAGATTTAATTTGCATGGTCCTAAATAGAGATCATTTCCCAATTCTAGTCCCAAGTCTTTTAAACTAAAAACAGCTCACAGATCTGTCCATCCCTAAATCACGCACTGTTTGTAAATAACACCACAAAGCTCAAGTGCACAGTATTGCAGAAATACAGGTTTATATTCTGTAGTTAGCAATTTGTTTTGTCTTGCTATGGTCTCACCAGCACCTAAAACTGATTTAAGTTTTCTGAGGCTTTGTAAAGCCAGCCTTCCATGGACTATCCCCCTCGGGCATGGTTCTCTTACACTATACAGATACTATTAGGCAACTGAAAATCATAGATAAAACTGCTCAAAATATAACTTGGCTGTTTTGTTCCAATGACTTCTCTATACCATTTCTTTAGAAAGCAAGCAGGAAATTTTACCTTTTGGTGATGCACTTTCATCCTAGAAGAGGAGCAGGAGATGAATGAGGAAAATAATTGCATTAAATATTTGTAATTCAAACTATGAAATCAATTTAGGGGACATGTACAAAGAGAAAAGTTCTGGTTTTCCTGAGATAGTTCCTGGAAGCCCAAAATTCCTTTTTTTTGGTTGATACACAAAAACTCTTTTCTTCAGACCTGACTCCCTCTACTTATATATACGTTCAGTTTAGATTCTTCAAAGTCATAAACTCATGTTCACTTATGTTGTTGTTACCAGTGTAATATATATGTTTACTAAGGCAACAGGTAATAGCACTGTATGTATGTGTACACATTAGTAATGTCAACACTGAGAACAGCATTGGAATTGAAACTATTAATTTATTTGTAAAAATGCTAGGTTTTTTCTATTATTCACCTTCTCTAATGATAAAAGTTTTATGATCAAGTGTTTTGGTAATCCCTTGACAATAAACTATTTGATTCTACAAATTTCTCATTGGGAATTGCCAGTGTAAACCAGGGATTTTGGAGAGAAGAAAAGGAATTGGTGAGAGCTGTTAATCTCACTGTTACATCTTTCTGCTATTAGAGATTCTGAATAAATCTCTGTGCTAAAAGAAATTTCAAACAAACAAGTGGTTTGGTCATGATGCAAAATGGTCTCTTTCAAGTTTTTGATAGTAAAAAGAATGTTTCTCACCTCTAAACTCCAGATTACGCTATACCACCCTAGGTTATGAGATTACATCTCACACATGAGATTTTACCATCTAGGGTAAAAATTCAGCAGTATCATTCAATTGACGATGTGGATGTAGAATAATATGTAGAACAGTAGTTTCATTATCCTGACTCAATTGACTTTACAAATGTACCACTGCAATTTTAATTTACTGCATTTAGACAATGATCCAGACTTCAGACAACAAAAGCAGAGGTAACATGAGTGGAAGTAAGACTGAGAAACAGAAGCATCACCCCACCACTAGATTTAATTTGATCCAACATCAAAGATACTCATGATAATCTGCTGGATGTTTGATTTAAGAGTATAGGAGTCAAAGCTAAGCAGTCTCATAAGCAGTCTCTGTTGTGTTTCATTCTATACCCAGATTTAAAAAGTCTATACTAAAGACACAACGCAGATTACAATAAAGGATTTAGTTCTGCTTATTAGCCAGGAAATTCTGTTATGACACTAACAAAAAAAAAAAAATCCAAATAACCATTGAAAATATAAAGCTGATGAAGTTGTCTCTTGATACTGCAAAGATACTAAAACATACTACCATCCCTATGTATTTTGGGTTTTTTTTTCACTAATAAATACTGGCAGAATATACTTTAAATGCAGTAAATTTTAAAATTTCCTGAATTTTATTAAAAAAAAAAATTGTTTAATAAATCAGTCTTGGAATATACTTAAATTATTTTTCCTTCACCTGATTCTCCTGACCATGTAAAGTATGTTATTTTTAACTGATATCTAAAGTTAATGTTGAAGATCATCCAGTGAACACCAATGGACTGGTATTCCCATAGAGCAACATGGGAAATACTTTGTCCTTTCATGAATGGAAGATGTTTAATTTAGCACTTTCTCCCTTCTAGGCATAAAGCAGCCTGGCTTCTTTTCATTGAGCATGTTGAGACTTTGCCAGTAGGAAGAAAAGACACTGATGTTCCAATTTAATAGTACTTGCCACCAGCTTATATAGCTGAGAGGTAACTGAGTGTATTTATTACATCAGGTCTCTTTGGTCATTTTTTTGAGAAGAGGAAAGGTATCTGACAATAGTCTCCAAGAAATTACTTTAACTTGTCACTGCAGATTTGGGTTATTTACACATTTCATTACATACCGACAATTCAGAACAGAATTATGTTAGAAATGTCCTTGGGAAACTAACAAATTCCAGGGACAACTATGAATCCCTGGGATATGTGTGAGTGATGAACTGTGTATTAGATTCTTAATTATAATGAAAGACGTGCAAAACCTCATCTCACCTATATCTATGAAGTTCAGGATTGCCTACACAAAATTTGCTGAGGCTCCAAAACATTCCTTTTGCCACAGCTGTGAAACAAATCAGCATCCATAAATTCATTCTTGATCCATCTGCTCCAAGAACATGGTTTGAGACAGCTGCACACTCTGCTCACGGACGATCCATGCCCTCTTATTTTCGAGACCTGTTTTCACACACCTAAGAAACATGCAGATTTCTAAAGGATGCCAAAAATAGCAGATCAACAAAAAAAACCCAAAAACACTGTCAGCTCTGTCTGACAGAAATTACTCTAAATTTTGAAGATCTTGGGCTCTGTGTCTGGTAGAAGCCTGAGTAGCATTGTTTCACCCATTAACACTGTATTCATTAGGTACTTTAAATTCCACAGGTGGGCTCAGTGCTTTCCAGGGAACATATGAAAAATCAATGTCTCCACAGAAACAAGCAAGCACTGGACTGTGTAATTTTACCCTCTAGATCAATTTGTGGATGTATATATAAACAGATGGAAAGGAAGCTGTTTACTATGGTGTAGCAAAGGGATTATTATAATCAGCATAACCAGCTGATATGACATTCACAAGAAGAGTATCTTAGAGACTTTGTTTACTAATTTGAATAAATTCAGTGTTGCTTTAAAATTAACCAGGTGGCAATCTTTAAGATGTGCTTCAGACATAGCATCACAGAGTTCACATCTTAAACAAGGATATGTTTAAGATCCAATTTCTTGCCTTTGGATCCTGTTTCAGTTCAGCAGGCAGAGGATGGTTTCAGAATGAATTAGCAGTGCCTGCATTCATTCTTTAGCTAAAACAGAAAATTACCAAGAGGACAGAGTTTTAAAAGCTTTATGAATGTTGACAGTCACCACTGAATTTCTGAAACAAATTTCTAAAATTTCCATTTGGTTTTGTTGATGTGCTATTTCATGGCCTTCTGGCTCTTATAAACCTGTCTTCTAAAAGCGTAAAAAAATCACTGATTCTATCTATAGCAGGTTAAGTACTAGTGAGCCCCAAAATGCTTTATCTTATGACAAAAGAATATCATGAGCTCTTGATCCGTGAGAGAACACATATATGACAATAATTAAATTACAAATGCAACTAAGTTATGGAATGAACGAGGTGGAAGTGAAATTATGTTCTTAAACTTCTAGAGTTTCATTAATTTAAAAGTAAGTGAACAAAGAGATATAAAACCATTAGGTCCAGTTTTGCATTAACATAGATGCAAGAGGTTTTAAACTTCCCTTGCCCTCAGGCAGTTTCAGGAACTCCTCCTAAAATGATAGACATATTTCCATCTCTTCCAAAGTGGGATTTGTCTAGTCTCCACCTCAAGGCATATCACTTGAAAATATTTTGATTTCAAATTACCTAGATGTTATGGTGCTGTTTTTTGCCTGAAGTCCTCACAATTGCTCTGATGGTCTTTATGATACAGAGCACATCAGCAGGAGCAATTAAATATCAATAAAATAGTCCAGCCCCTAAGTCACATTGATACTGGTATGGAGGTACCAGTATATTAAACAGTACCAAGACATTAGACCACAATTCTTCATATTATTCAATCATTAGCGTACTCTTTGGCATGATTCTGGCCCATGGCAATGCTCACAGACAATGCTTGAACACAGTTCAAGGTCGTTGTTCCCAGCAGGCAACTAGGAATTGGCTGTCCTGTTTTCAAGCAGAGAGGGAAAAGAGTGACACGTACCTTCAGGGCCAAGGAACACTCTCTCAGCAGTGTAAGTTACAAAAATAAACATGGCTAGAGTTAAAAAGCCAATCTTCCCTACAACACAACCCCCAAGAGACTGTGACTGCCTCTCAGGAGAAATCAAGACAAGAGGTGAACTGCACAACTTGCAACATACTGTAGAAGCCTCCAATTCACTCAAAAATGTGAGACACAAAATCAAATCCTTATCACATAATAACTGGACAGCTGTCTCAGGGTCAGAGTCCAGGGGATTCTGTGGCCCTGGGAGGGGAAAAGACTGACATGGGCATAGCTGGCCACCTAGCCTTTAGCAGGAACCTTGATTTCCCTCAAACCAGCGAGAAGGCTCCTCTCAGGAAAATGTGCAAATCTCCATAGATTATTCGAGTAAAGAAGGTTTTTCTCTCCTATTAAGGCCATTGTACCACACCAAAAAGAACCCTAAAAGGTTATTTGGAAAAGAAAATGTGAATCTGATGCATCATTTTAGTTTTCAGGGCACTCAGCTAGGAGAAAACAACACTAAACTTCAGGCTCTGCTGCCCAGACATCTGATCAGTTACATTTAAGCTCTTGACTGATGCAAAACACCAAAGCAGGCCCTGTCACAGGCACAGGTTTCTGCCTTGTGCCCTGCAGGGTGCCTGCATCTTCCCGCATCTGGATGACTCACTAAGGGTACAGTCACACACAGGTTCCTTTCTTCTCTCCAGTTCTTTGAACCTGAATATTCAAAATACCATTTCAGGAAAGCAAGACAATAGATGTCAGTTCTCTCAAGCAAAGGAGCAATTATGGATGAGGTTTGTGTGTCTGAGAACACCACCCCACCAACCTGTCTTGATGCCAGTTACAAAGGAAAGAACACAAAGCCAACCCTCACGAGAGCCCTCTAGTTTGCACACACAGCCTTCCCTTCCCTTCCCTACCCGACAGCCTAAGCTCCTGTAAGAGAGGCACAACTAAGCAAAATACCTGATTTTTTTCATTTTGTAACTCTCAGTAGCATCTGGTTCTGCCTTGGTTTGCCCTGAGTCCACTCAGAGAAACCCATAGCTGCTTGCTGTGCTGGCGCAACAGCTCATCTGCCTCACAGGGTTGCTCACCATGACGAGACAGCACCAGCAGCAAAGTCCAGATTCATTTAAAAGCCTTCCCTCTCCCTCCAGCCTTTATTCTCCTGTTCTGCAGGGATGTACAATCTGTTCATCTCACCAAGGTATTGCACGGGTTTTGCTTTCCTTTGGGAACAGCGCAGCCCTGTTGCCTTGCTCCCTTCTCAATCCATCTCTGCTGTTCATCTCCCCTTGGGCAGCTTCCCAGAGCTGTAGGAAATCACATTATTCCCATCAGAGAGTGGGCCAGAACGGGACAGGCGTTGCCATGTGCCACAGAGGTGGCAGGTGAGGCTCTTGAGTGATAAAACAGGGTCAAAGTTTCTTGTTGCAGTCAGGCCCTGGGCTGTGCCTTCAAACTCCTAAAATTCACTGCTGCCTGTGTGTCCTTCTCCATTTCATGGTCTCACATAGGAACAGCATCAGCAGTAAGTGGTACCTGACCTTGCTGTCAGTGCAAATCAGGGAGGGAGCCGCTGAAACACCTCCACGTTTTCAACTCTTGAATGGTCTGTGGAGGTAGAGACAAAAGCTCCCTGGGAGAGAAAAATACTTCAGTGCAATACCATATTTTCAAGGTCAGTCATGAAGTTTCAAAACACTATTTTATGAAAACAAAATTAAAGATGTAGCAATATACACAATTCACTCCCTTGTCAACAAAGACAAAACTGCTATTGAAATCTATCACAGTAAGCTCTACCAAATGCTAAGTACTTTTGTGTTGAACATGCCATTTGAAACTTTTAGGGTAAAATAGAATCCTGAAAAATTCCCTGAAACAAGGAGTAAACTAAGTACTCTCTGATCAGCTACTTGTCGCATGGCTTGAACAGCTGCAATCACTTTGTCTCCTTAAGGGTTACCCAAGCAGTAGCCAAGCACCACACAAGTCTGGGCACTAGTCACTGAAGTCATATGGGGTACACGGGTCGAACCTTATTTTGGATCCACAGTACAGAAAAAAAAGGAAGGGTCACTTCCAGTGTGCTCAGTCTGACTGCAGCCAACCAGCACAAATGACATAATACAGGCATTTTGATCATAAATATGACAAATTATATATGTATACATTGTGATGCACAAAGTGTTGGTTTGGTTATTTTTTCTTAGACACTTTTAAAGTATCCTAGCTATAATGCTTTACAGAACAGGATTTTTTTTCTTAGTGTGTTTTGTTTTTTTTTTTTTTATTTTCAATATATAAGAATAATCAGAGATTAAACAAGCATCAGAGATGTTACAAAGCTTTTCCCACCTCCTGAGTCAGAATTCCATAATTTTCTTTCAAGACACTCCAATAAGATTTCCTAATTCAATTCATATGAAACAAGAACAGCAAACCAAATACCATGACTACATGGTTTTCTGTAAGGAGTTTTATGTTTGCATTAGAGGTTATAAGAGATACAGCGAAGAGAAAGAACATAGTCTGAGGTTTAAAATAAACCAAGAATGGTCACAGGGCAATAAATGGCACAAAAAGCAATATGTCAAAAGGAAGACAGAAAAAGAAATGCCAACAGAAACACAGTATACTTTGCTTAAAAGTAAAGACTGAACTTGACAATGCTGAAAATAAATTTGACAGCCTTAGACAAGAAATGTAAGATGACCTCAGCTACACCGACTTAAATAAGCAGTTGTAAACAGATGGCCAAAAGAAAAAGAATCTGGGTACTTTCAAGTATAAAGTATTTCTGGGACTGTAGAGATAGTGTTGCTGATTATGAACAAAGTCTAAAGAATCAAACTAGATGTTGCAATGTAAAAAATGCCAAACATTAGCTTCAGAAAACTCCCTAAAACGTGTTATCTTAGTCTAAACACAAAAATATCTGTCACTGAGTAGGATATCCAACCTTAATAACTGAAAGTCAGAGAAAACAAAAACTAAGGGAGTCACTGTAATTAAACTCCTTGGTCACCCTTGGTACAGTAGTAAAGTGGATATATTTGAATGACAATGGAAATTTTATCACATATACTGACTCTTTCTGCAACTGTATTAATGCAGAAAAATCACATAGTAACATTAGAAGTAATTATATAGTCTTTTTTAAATAAAAATATTGATTCTGAATAAAGCAGACTAATTGCTAGCAATTTACAGTGGAGGGGAGGCTCTTGGAGCTCTGTTATACATATCCTCAGCTATGAGGTACATTAACTATATTGTTAAACCTCCACATAAAATCTCCTTTGCAATGATTTCAGTGGGTAGTTTTCTTAAGCAGCACTTTGTTTTCTTTTGAAACTGCAGGTATACTCAAGTGTTTCTTCTGTGCATGTTTGTTACACCGGTAACAAACTCATCACCAATGACTCATCCTGCAAGTGATTTTTACTTCAGCCTCTCTAGGCAAACCCAGCCCTATGTTCCAAATGGAAAATACAAGGGAATAATCCGTTAGGAAATAGAGTGGATGTACTCTGATGTCATTCTTTGCCTTGCAAGGCATAACCTCACATTCATTCACCAGGATTAAAGGTTATTAATCTCTTTTTTGCATTATCTGTATCTTACTGCACAAAAATATTCCTCTGAACATAGAACAAAATTTCCTCTTTGTGGTCAGAGCCATGCAATTATATATATACCTCTAATGTCTAAATTCTTAGTCATGTTCATTTCTAGTTCCCCAGAAAATAGGATAAACATCTGTGGCATTAGTATCTATTATATACCTTTTAAAAAATAATTTCCCACTGATTTGGTGAATGGAGTTAAATCCAGCTGGCAGCCGGTCACGAGTGGTGTCCCCCAGGGCTCGGTTTTGGGGCCACTCCTGTTTAACATCTTTATTGATGATCTAGACGAGGGGATCGAGTGCACCCTCAGTCAGTTTGCAGATGACACCCAGTTGGGTGGGAGTGTTGATCTGCTCGAGGGTAGGGAGGCTCTGCAGAGAGACCTGGACAGGCTGGAGCCATGGGCTGAGCCCAACTGGAGGAGTTTCGCAGCGCTACAGGCTTGGGGAGGAGTGGCTGGAGAGCTGCCAGTCGGAGAGGGACCTGGGGGGGTTGATTGACAGCTGGCTGAACAGGAGCCAGCAGTGTGCCCAGGGGGCCAAGAAGGCCAATGGCATCCTGGCTTGTGTCAGCAATAGCGTGACCAGCAGGGACAGGGAAGGGATCTGACCCCTGTACTCAGCACTGGTGAGGCCGCACCTCGATTCCTGTGTTCAGTTTTGGGCCCCTCACTACAAAAAGGACATTGAATGACTCAAGCGTGTCCAGAGAAGGGCAACGGAGCTGGTGCAGGGTCTGGAGCACAGGTCGTACGGGGAGCGGCTGAGGGAACTGGGGGTGTTTAGTCTGGAGAAGAGGAGGCTGAGGGGAGACCTCATCGCCCTCTACAGCTCCCTGAAAGGAGGTTGCAGAGAGCTGGGGATGAGCCTCTTTAACCAAGTAACAAGCGATAGGACAAGAGGTAATGGCCTGTAATGGTTTAGGCTCTGCCGGGACCGGAGAGCACATTGCCGATGCCCCTCCCTCACCCTCAGCTGGTCGGGCTGGCAGTGAGGCACAAACCTGGGCTAAAATAAGAAGAAATTTAATACAACAGTGTGATAAAACAATCTGAACAACAACAGTAGCAATGATAACAACAATAAACAGCAATAACAATTAACAAGACAAACGATATACAGAGAAATACCGCAAAATGGTCACGGAAACAGATTCCCGCCACCAAGCCCACCAAAGAGCAAAGTAAAAAAGGTTCCACCCCTGGACGTGACGTCAGCATGGTATGAATAACCCAGCTGGAGATCCCTTCCCCCTCTCTCTCTGCTAGGGAAACCTAACCCTATCCTAGTTGAACCAGGACATGGCCTCAAGTTGCACCAGGGGAGGTTCAGACTAAATATTAGGAAGCATTTCTTTACAGAACGGGTTGTTAGGCGTTGGAATGGGCTGCTCAGGGAGGTGTTGGAGTCCCCATCCCTGAAGGTGTTTAAGAGTCGGGTTGACATAGCGCTGAGGGATATGGTGTAGTTGGGAACTGTCAATGTTAGGTCATTGGTTGGACTGGATGATCTTCAAGGTCTTTTCCAACCTAGATGATCCTGTGATTATGTCCATTCAATCACTGACTAAAAATTACAGCCAGATTTACCTTAAAAAAACAACCCCCAAACAGGTTTAAAGAAATAATCTTTTCTCTTGGAATATTTTACGAAATATCCTTCTATTTCTTAAATAACCATTTACAAAACCCAACCCACCTCCCACTTCACTCTTTTTTAATTTCTTTCTTCCTCTTCCCAGTCCTTTTCTTTTTTTACTTGTCTGCTGTTCTTCAGGGATAACTGTCACTGATCAAATTCTGCCCTGATTTAAACTTTGGGTGGCCCTGCCACTTTTTAATCAGGATATAGAGCAGGACCATCGCAATTCTACAGAACTTGCAGGGAAAAGCCTGCCCTGTGGAGTGACTTGCACAAAAAACAGATGCTGGGGAAAGGGAGGGGGATGTGCAAAAATCACCCTTCTTTTTCTTCCTGTAGTAAAGGCTACTTTCTTAGATTCTACAGTAAAGATCAGCATCAAATATGTCTTTATGTCCTTTGGTCAGTATGCAGCAAACATTTAGATACCTGCTTAACCTTAAGCACACAATTTTCCAACAGAGTGCTTTACTTAAATTGATTCCTCACTGTCCTACTCTTGCATAAATAATCTTAATTACTTGAGTTGCATTACAAGTGCATGTATCAGTACTGGCTGAGATACCATGTACTTAGCTTTTTGGAAACTGCCATTTCTTACCACAATAATTTTCATGGAAAATTACAAAATTAAACAACTTGCCATTTATATTGCAGCCTATGAATTATTAAACTTTAATTACAGTTGCTTTAGTTTTTTAATCATTCAAGTCAACATTTATAAAGTGTTACATATATTTTGAATATTCATCTATTGATGGTTCAAATTAGCACTAAGCCAGTCTTCCCCAGCACTTTATGAATTTTAGAGCATTCATACCAGAAACAACACAGAGGTCATCACTGTTAAATCCTTTGTGCCTATAACTGAGAAAACAGCATGATGCTTCTTCATGAGGGAAGTTTCAGACAGTTCTCATGTAGGGAAAAGAGGCATAAAATTTTCCATTATTTTTCTCTCTGATGCAGGGACAGAAAAAATCCTGGCTAGAAAATGCTTTTTGCCAGCTTTTGTCAGCGCTGGATTATATACTGAACATGCTTTGATCTTCACAGCAAAATGTCACGTTTGCTTTCCTTCCTAATATGCAGGAAGTAGCACTCTGGCCACCTAGGGAACAAACAACGAAGCTTCTTTTTCTAAGAAAGTCAACTAAAGCTGGTTTTAGACCATACAAGGCTTAAAAATAGTCAGATAAAACAAGAATTTCAAAACCTCAAGCTTAAGTTTCTTCTTGATTCTGGCATTGTGTCAGCTTTATCTGCTAAAACCTGTCCATTTTTGTTGCAAATCCTTATGTTTCATTTGATCCTCACCTCTCTATCCAGCTGGAAGCCAGAGCACCATTTGATCTGGTGTTAGA